GCCTACTCTCTTGTTAGGGGCTAACGAAGCTGGTGACTTGAAGTTGAAGCCAGTGCTCATTTTCCATTCTGAAATCTTAGGTCCCTTAAGAATAGTGCTAAATCTGCTCTGCCTATGCTCTATAAATGGAACAACGAAGCCTGTATGACAGCACGTCTGTTTACAACATGGTACAGTGTTTACAACATTGTACAATTCAACATGTTGTATACATCTGTATACAGCATACTGAATATTTTAAGCCCACCGTTGAGACCTACTGCTCAGAAAAAAAGATTCCTTTAAAAATATTACTGCTCATTGACAATGCACCTGGTCACCCAAGAGCTCTGATGAAGATGTACAAAAAGATTAATGTTTTTTTCATGCCCGCTAACACAACATCCCTTCTGCAGCCCATGGATCAAGGAGTAATTTTGACTTTCAAGTCTTGTTATTTAAGAAATACATTTTGTAAGGTTATAGCTTCCATAGATAGTGATTCCTCCAATGGATCTGGGCAAAATAAATTGAAAACCTTCTGGAAAGGATTCGCCATTCTAGATACCATTAATTACATTCATGACTCATGGAAGAGGTGAAAATATCAACAATAATAGGAAGTTTGGAAGAGGTTGTTTCCAGCCATCATGGATGACGTTGAGGGGTTCAAGACTTCAGAGGAGGAAGTAATTGTAGATGTGGGAGAAATAGCAGGAGAACTAGAATTAGAGGTGGAGCCTGAAAGTGTGACTGAATTGCTGCAGTCTCATGATGAAACTTTAACGGATGAGGAGTTGCTTCTTATGGATGTGCAAAGAAAGTGGTTTCTTGAGATGGAATCTCTTACTGGTGAACATGCTGTGAAGATTGTTGAAATGACAACAGAGGATTTAGAATATGACATAAACTTAGTTGATAAAGCAGTTGCAGAGTTTGAGAAGATTGACTCCAATTTTGAAAGGAGTTCTACTGTGGATAAAAATGTTATCAGACAGCATCGCATGCTACAGAGAAATTGTTCGTGAAAGGAAGAGTCAATCAATGCAGCAAACTTCTTTGTTGTGTTATTTTAAGAAATTGCCACAGCCATCCCACCCTGATCACTCAGCAGCCATCAGCATCAAGGCAAGACCCTCTACCAGCAAAAAGATTATGACTCACTGAAGGCTAGGATGATGGTTGGCAATTTTTAGCAATAAAGTATTTTTATGTAAGGTATGTACATTGTTTTTTTAGACATAATGCTATTGCGCACTTAATAGACTACAGTATAGTGTAAACATAACTTTTATGTGCACTGGGAGACCAAAAAATTTATATGACTTGCTTTATTGTTATTTGCTTTATTGGAGTGGTCTGGAAGAGAACCTTCCAACCTACCAGATATACCCATAGTTTCAGTCTCTCTGCTGAAATCACGTATCTGATCTTGCATGTTGTCTGTGTTTTCCATTAAATCCTCTAATACACTAATCATAGTTATTTTAAATTAACTATCTGATACTTCTGACATCTGTATCATTTAAGAGTCTGGCTCCAAGCATTGCTTGGTATTTTGGAAATGTGCCATTTCTTGCCTTCCTGTATACTTCTTAACTTTTGTTAAAGTTGGATATCTTGAATAAGACACTAGATATTGTGATAAGTATTTTTATGCTTTGAGATGAACACTTTTTTAAAATACTGTTAAGCCTTTAGTATTAGGAGTTTGCGTTAATCTAGTCAGGAATTGTCTGGGTTTGATATCGGTGGTTGTTGTGGTTCCTGAAAGCTTCAGATACCTTTAAACATGTTTAAGCTGTAGGCTGGCTCATGAGAAGTTATTTTTCTCTCATGTCTAATCTTTCCTTTCTTATTTTTTGATTTTTTTTTTATTTTTGATTTTATTTTTGATTTTATTTTTCCAGAGAGAATCTCTTGCAGCTCTCCTAGATTGATTCCACTCCATTTTTACTATACTCTTATTGTGATGGTAGTTGAGAGAGAGGGGCAGTCTCTAATGTTCTGATTAAGCTGTAATCTTTGGCAGATATGGTGTCCATGGATCTTGGAGGTGTTTTCTTCACAAGTGCTTCAACTCCTTCTCCAGCTTTAGTGCTGGCCTTGTACTTCTTGCTGACTATTCCTGAAGGATGAGGCTTTTTTTTCTTCCTGTTTCCTTCCCTAGTGGTAACAAGTTTCCATAGTACCCTAGGTGACCATTTTTCTTTCTTCTCTGCCTGTAGGTTATAGCATTGTTCCTTACCACGAGGTAGGGGAGATGGGTCTGGGTGGGGTTTTGGCAGGGCTGCTGGGCTCCTCCTATAGCTGATACCCTGTGGGAATCTTGTTCATGGTTCCCTTGCTCTCCTTTTGAGACTCAGAAGTGTTCATGAAGGTAAAGCCTGTCAGAGGGTATAACCTCCTCCCTCCTCCATATCTCTGGTCCTCAGAGGCTTCACATGCTCACACTGGTTGACACTTGGCTTTTAGCAGTTCGTTGAAAACTTTTAGTTGACTTCTTGCCAGCTTATATGGCAATTGAAGCAAATGCTTGGGTCCTGATTCTACCTGTAGGCCCCGTCCATTCGTGTATTTCAGGTTTATTGGTTGCCATGACACTTCAGTTCTTTGATAGGTTAAGGCAAAGTTCTTAATTGACATTTTGTCTGTCTTTTTCTTTGTTGTAATGGTAGGATCCATGCTGTTATATTCACTTTTCATATCTGAGCAGAAACCAAAAGTATAAACCTAATTTTTTTTGGTTTTTTGCTGAGGAGGATTCTCCCTAAGGTAACATCTGTGCCAATCTTCCTCTATTTTGTATGTGGGTCGCCCCACAGCATGGCCACCAACGAGTGGTGTAGGTCCGTGCCTGGGAACCAAACCTGGGCTACTGAAGCGCTGAGTGTGCCAAACTTAACCACTAGGCCACGGGGCTGGCCTCTAAACCTAATTTTTAAAATAATAAGTTGCAATGAAATTGTGCTTCAATTTTGCCATATAATGTTAGAGCTCCAAGGCATGTGCTTCTAGAGATCTAGTCCAACTCTGAAGTTTTAGATGATCAAGCTAAGATCTAGAGAAAGAAGAAGTACTGACTTTAATTTAATTATTTATTGACTACTTGCTGTTGTAGGAGTTCTTACAGTAATATCCCTTGGCATCATGAAATTCTCATTTAAACTTAGTTACTTAAAAGTCTGTTTGTTAAGTGATATTATAGAGTGGGTTCTTCTATTGGCTATGAAATACCCTGGGCATCTTTTCAAAGTATGCCACTTCTAACTTTTTTAAAATAAGAAGGTAGCCAGAGGGAGGTTTATTATAAATTATATACTACTTGATTTTCTGGCTTTCATAATATTTAACGTTGTAGTGGGCATTCAAATTTATATTAATACACTTATTAATTGATATTTCTGGTTTGGGAAAATTTTATTTCAAATGTTGCCAAGGAATGCATAGCATCATTGATGACATGATATTCTAAAATTTGTTTAAAATTTATGGACACCTTTCATAGTACTATGAAGTATCTGTCTCTACTGAAATATGTAGAAAACACTTGAAAATCTGTTAATCTGTTTTAGAAATTAGGCAACATGTTGTGATAAATATGCAATCTTTCATCAAAAGATATTCATGAAGAAATAGGCATTACAATAGAAATGTGTTCTAAGTTTATATCACATTTTTCAGCTTCATCCAGGATATAGAAATGGGAGCTCTCAAGGCATAATAATGCTCTATGTAAATTCTTTGTGGGTGGGTATATCATCTGTTCATTTCTCCTTCAATATCTGAAACAGGGCTTTGCGTGTAATAGAAACTCAACAAATTTTTATTGAGCAACTAACTAATGAAAATTTCATCACTAAGAACATTCATCTTTTGTCTTATTTTGAATAAATAAATTTCAACTTGAAATTTATAAGCAATAAATCATTTACTTAAAATAGAAAATGATAAACAATTATTTACTAATACTTTCTAATGAATGGCATATTAAATTATTGAGTGAGTTTCAATATCTACCAATTTTTCTAATGCAAACTGTGGTTGTGAACTTGCAGAACAAAAACTTGGATACTTAAGGTTTGGTAGATTTTTCAAGTACTTTAACATTCATTGCATTTCTTATACAAAAACAATCCTGTGAGATATGCTATAATATATTATGATTCTTTGTTTTATAAATGAAGGAGCTGGACTTTAGAAAGATTAATCTTTAAAGATTAAGTGATTACCCCAGGGTTGTACAGTTTATGAGAGAGAAAGGTAGACCTCGAATCCAGGTCTTAATGTCTTTAAATCAGAGTTCTTTTCCATTACACAACATAGCTTTCTCCCAGTGCGATATATAAGTAATGAAGCATATTGAAGTAAAAAATGATCTTATATCTGGTTCTAATTCCCAACACTGCAACTCTGTGATTGTGTGACTTTGGGCAAGCCAGGTAATCTAATCTCCTTTTTTGTTTTTTCTTTTTCTCCCATTGTTAATGTTGTAACCCAACTTTTGCCTAGTATCATGTATAATGACAATAAATCCCTAGTTGTTAGTGATTATATAGTATTGGGTTAGCTTTTGTTCTGAGTACACTGTTTTACCTCTTTCATATGTAGTTTGTAAGCTTACTGAGGGCGTAACTCATCAATAAAATACATATGTATGTATATAATTACTTTATAGCATATATAAATATATAGTATTTTATATATATGTATGAATTTCTGATAGTGCCCAGATCAATGCAAGGAACAGATTAGGAACACATTATGTACATGTAACTGTTTAGTCTCTTACCACTTAGGCGGCCACATAATTGATGAACTCTGGTTAGTGAAATTCTGACCCTATAAAGGTCATCCTGGCACCTGCTGTCAACAAACACCAGATGCAATGACTAGTTATGCCCCCAACTACTTTCAGTGATTCTGTAGGTAAATTTTGATGGTCTTACTTACTGTTTAGAAAAAATCTCAATCTCATGTAATTGAAGCAACTAATTACTGTATCTTATTCCTTTAATTAGAAAACAGTAGTGCACAAGTAACAACCACAGGAAGCCTTATATTCCAGAACTTTGAGGAGAACATGAGTGGAGTTTACACATGTTTCCTTGAGTATAAACCTATGGTGGAAGAAGAAGTTAAAAATCTTCAACTAAAATATGTTGTATATGGTAAGAAGTGCATTTCATTGTATTTTAACATTTCTTAATGTTTTGAAATATTTTAACAGGTTTGTTTTAAAGGGATTTTGTTATTTTTAATTGCTTTTAATTAAAGAAAAATTCCTGCCTGCCTATATTTTACAAAGTACTTTGTAAGGGGTTAGTGGTGAGGGCAGATCATTTTTTCCTTAGGGGAATATTGACATGTTCATAGCTAAATTTAAGTCAATGAATGAAAACAGGGTTTGGAAATCATGTTTTCAAATTATTATGTTGATATTATAGTCTGTACTGCTTTAAAATGCTGAGTATCATGCTTGATGGCATGCTGTCGTTTCCCCCAAACAGGAACATGAAGTACCACTGTAAAATTCTTTTCTAAATACAATTTGATCTGTTGAGGTTTGAGATTACGGGAGCTGAGTTGACAACAGAGTAGCAAGGAGAGCAGCCTGAACAAAGGTTGCTTGTAAGTTCCGTCTCACTGGTGGGACCCATATGTGGTCGATAGAATAATGGTCCTCAAAGATGTCCCAGTCTAATCTCCAGAACCTGTGAATATGTTACCTTACAATGCAAAAGGGACTTTGCAGATGTAATTAAGTTAAGGATCTTGAGAAGGGGAGATTATTCTGAATTATCTGGGCAGGCCCAGAATAATCATAAGGGTCTTTATAAATGAGAAAAAAGGGTCAAAGGCAGAAAAAGGAAATGCAATGCTGACAGGAGAGGTTGGAGTGATGTTCTTTGAAAATGGAGGAAGGGACCACAAGGAATGTAGGAGGCCTTTAGAACTTGGAGATGGCAGAGAAGTGGATTTTCCTCCTTCCTGAAGGAATGGACCTTGGTTCTAGCCTTGTAAGACTCATTTTGAACTTCTGATCTCCAAAACTATAAGATAATAAATTTGTGGTATTTTAAGTCACTAAGTTTGTGGTAATATACCATTGTTTTTACAGCTGGAATGCAGAGCAAATGGCAGAATTGTTAATGGTTTCCTGATAACTTTTGGTCGCTCGAAAAACACTATCCCATATATCCAAAGAAAGACATAATTTTTTTTATGAGAAATTAACTTTATTAGGCAAATAATTTATTTAAATCTTTTTATTTGTCACACTTTATTTTTTGTTACGTGGTTTTCTCCAGTTTGTTGTTTTATATATCTAGTTTGTAACAAATATACTTTGAAATCTCTCAAAAGCGTATATTCACGTAAGCTGACAAATGTAACAGTGACTAAAATGAATGCTTGTTTATAGTAATGATAATGATAGCTAATATTTACTGGGCATTTGTCAAATGGTTTTTTCTGCATTAATTGAGATAGTCATGTGGTTTTCACTTTGTGTTTTATCGATATGGTAAATTAAATTGGTTTTCAAATGCTAAACCAACCTTACATTCCTGGGATAAATCCCACTTGGTCATGATGTATAAATTTTCAGTATCCTGCTCGATTTAGTTTGCTAGTATTTTGTTGAGAATTTTTGCATGTATAGTCATAAGACATATTGGTCTGTAGTTTTTTTTCTTGTGATATCTTTTTGGTCTGGTTTTGCTATCATGGTAATAGTGACCTTAATATGCATTGGGGAGTTTTCCTTCCTCTTCTAATTTTTGAAGAGTTCATTAAGAATTGTTAATATTTCTTTAAATCTTTGGTAGAATTCATGATTGAAGACATCTGGGCTTGGGTTTTTCTTCATAGATAGTTTTTTTGATTACTAATTCCGTCTCTTTGTTATAGCTCTATTCAGATAGTCTATTTCCTGTTTAGTCAGTTTCAGTAGTTTGTGTCTTTCTAGGAATTTTTCTATTTCATCTAAGTTAGCTAATTTATTGACATACAGTTGCTCATAGTATCCCTTTGTAGTTCTTTTTACTTCTGTAATGTTGTTAATAATGCCTCCTCTTTCATTTCTGATTTTGGTAATTTGAGTCTTCTCTTTTTTTCTTGGTCACTCTAGCTAAAGGTTTATCAATTTTGTTAATCTCTTCAACCTAGGTTTTTGTTTCTTGATTCTCTCTGTTGTTTTTCTATTCTCTGTATCATTTATCTCTGCTCTAATTTTTATTTCCTTCTTTTTGTTTGCTTTAGGTTTAGTTTTCTTGTGCTTTTCCATTTTCCAGTGCCATAAGGTAAAAGTTTCGATTTTGATTTGAGATCTTTCTTTTCCTAATAACAGCACATTATGTATGTTAAGCAAGTGATTTCCCACTTAAGTACTACTTTAGCTGCATCCCATAGGTTTTGTTTTTATTTTCATTTATATCAAGATATTTTATAATTTGTCTTTTGATTTTTTCTTTGCCCCTTTAGTTATTTAGGACTGTGTTGTTTAATTTCCACACATTTGTGAGTTTTTAAAAATTCTTTCTGTTATTCTAATTTTATTCCATTGAGGTTAGAGAAGATACTTTGTATTATTTCAGTCCTTTTAAATTATCAAGATTTGGGCCTTAGAATATTCTCCATCCTTGAGAATGTGCAGTGAGCAGTTGAGAAGAATATGTATTCTGCTGTTGTTCAGTGAAGAGTTCTGTAGGTTTATGTTAGGTCTATTTGGTTTATGGCATCATTCAAGTCTTCTATTTCCTTGTTGATCTTCTGCCTTGTTGTTTTATCCATTATTGTAAGTGGGATATTGAAGTCTCTGATTAATATTGTTGAATTGCCTATTTCTCTTTTTGATTTCTGTCAGTTTTTGCTTCATTTTGGTTCATTGTTCTTAGGTGTGTATAGGTTTATAATTGTTCTAGCTTCCTGATAGACTGTCCCTTTTATCATAATAAAATGTTCCTTTTTCTCCAGTAGCATTTTCTTGTTTTAAAGTCTATATTGCCTGATAATTGTATAGCCACTCCTGCTTTCTTGTGATTGCTATATGCATGGTATATCATTTTCAGTCTTATTACTTTCAATCTACTTGTATCTTTGAATCTAAAGTGTGTCTCATGTAGACACCAAATACTTGGATATTGCTTTTTAAATGCAGTTTCATTATCTCTGCCTTTTGATTAGATAATTTAATCCATTCACATTTAATGTTATTATTCATATAATTGTATAAACTCTATCATTTTACTTTTTATTTCCAAGTCATATGTATATTCCTCTATTTCTCATTCTTTTGAATTAAGTGAATATTTTCTAATGTAGTATTTTAATTTCTTTAATAGATTTTCACTATATATTTTGTAGTAATTTCTTTATTAATTTTTTTAGGGATTACCACATATATCTTAACCTATCAGAATCAGCTTGACGTTTATACCAACTTAATTCCAGTGAGATATAGAAATGTTGCTCTTAAGTAGATCTCTTTCCTTTCTCTGCTTTTTGTGGTATTAGTATTATACATATTACATCTGTAAATGTAACAAAACTAATAATATAGTGTTATAATTATTATTTTATATAATTTTATATATTTCAAAGAAGCTGAAAATAAAGGAAAGCAAGTGTCTATTTATAGGTTTTATTATATTAGCCTTCTTATTTATCATTTTTGATTCTCTTCATTTGTTCCTGTGTATTCAAGTTACCATCTGTGGTCATTTCCTTAGCCCAATACAGCTTTGCTCCCACTCACCTCCTTTGTGCTTCTCTTGACAAATATATACTTATGTTAGGGGACCAATGATGCATCATATTCAAATTCTTTTATATAATTGTTTTTTAAATCAGTAAAGAGGAAAAAAAATAGAAGTAATATGGACTTACACTGTGTTTATAATTACATACTTAGCTTTACTGGAGCACTGTTTTTTTTGTGTGTGTGTGGATTCAGATTATTGACTGAAGTCATGTTCTTTCATTCTGAAAAACTTCTTTTAGCTAGTTCTTTCTTCTACCAGATCACATCTGCTGTTGAGCCCCTTCATGCGTCTGACTTTCGGTGTTTTTACTTTTGAACTGCACAGTTTCCACTTGGTTCTTTTTTATAATTTCAATCTTTTAGACATTCTCTATTAATGTGACTTTGTCATCATACCTTTTTAAATCATGATTTTTTTTAGTTATTTTAACATATTTATAGTGTATGCTTTGAAGTCTTTAACTTTTAAATCTCACATCTGGGCACTCTCACAGGTTGTTTCTGTTTCCTGGTTTTTTTCCAGTGTATGGGTTATACTTTCCTTTTTCCGTGCATGTCTCATAAATTTTTTCAGAAACTGGACTTTTTAGATAACATATTGTATCAAACTCTGGGTACTGGTCCATCTCCTCCTACTACCCCAGGCTTTTATAATTAGTTCCTTTTTATTTGTTTAGCAACTGTCTAGATTATCAGTGAAATTCACTCCTCACCCCACCATAGTGTTAAGCCTCCAAAGTTTGTCCTAGAAAGGTGTACTCACAGCAGTTTGGTGGATCTATTGTTTTCAGTAATGCCCTGGAGCATAAATTCCTCTAAAGACTGATGCAGTTAAATTTGGGTTCCTTTGAAAAGATAGTTCCCCAAGTTGGCGTTTGTGATTTGTTTTGACCCCAGGATTGCTGCTCCCAGCTTCTCTTCCACTGTTGCTCTCTAACAAACTAGGCAGCCTACAGTTGAGCCTATATCACCAATGAATCTATAAATCTCCTCCCAGTTGTCTTTCACCAAACCTCCAACCATGTTTGAGAGCAGCCTGAGGTTTGAGCTTTCCTACACTTTGTCACAAGTAGTGTCAGTTCCTTTGAGAAGGGATTCTGAGCAATCTGTTCTACAGCCTGCTCCTCCTCCCTGACAGATTCTCCGAGCCGAGCCACAGCTCTAGAGCTAGGGGTGGGGACAGTGGTGTGCTTCTCTCTGAGTGACACCGTGCTTTAGGAGCTTAGCACTTGGTGGATAGTTTCCATCCATCACCGTACACGTGTGGTCCTTTACCCCTTTTGGCCTCCTCCTCACCCTTTTCTCCTCTGGTAACCACCATTCTATTCTCCTTATCTATGTGTTTGCTTAATATATTTTTAATATTCATTAGTTTCTTGGATATACCATTTGTTATTTAGTAGTATTTTGTTTAAAAATGTTTTGGGGATTTTAATTGTTGATTTTCATTTTGATTTCATTGTGTTGGAGAATGTGGTTTACATATTTAATTCTTGAATTTGTTGACTCTTCATGGTCTCTCATAATTTTGCCTCTTGATTATTCTATTTATTTTTATTTCTGAAATACCAATTAAACATATTTATTAGAGCTCTTTAATTTATCATCTGTATCTTTTAACTTGTCTTTCATATATCCAGATCTTTAAATATGTTGTGTTTTAGGTACTGTTTTCCAAATTATGAATCTCTCTTTGGGTTTGTCACATCTGCTATTTACTTGTCTAGTCACTTTATATTTTTTTAACTTTGGTGATTTTTTTTTTTTCTATTTCAGTGACTGTACTCGCCATCTCCAATATTTTCAGTTAGAGCTTTCTTTTTAAAATCTCTATTTGTTCTTTAGACATCTTCACCAGTTTTTTTTTTTGTTTTTTTTTTTTTAAAGATTTTATTTATTTATTTTTCCCCCAAAGCCCCAGTACATAGTTGTCTGTCATAGCTGCACATCCTTCTAGTTGCTGTATGTGGGACGCGGCCTCAGCATGGCTGGAGGAGTGGTGCCTCGGTGCGCACCCGGGATCCGAACCCGGGCCGCCGGCAGCAGAGCGCACGCACTTAACCGCTAAGCCACGGGGCCGGCCCTCTTCACCAGTTTTTGTTTTATTATTTCCTATTCTTAATTTGTTTAACATTTTGAAGATTTATATTTCTAAATTTTGTTTTTAAATTTTCATAATATATATGAAAACTTGTGTGTACTCGTATCCTTCATTAAAATAGATATTGCTCTTTTATCTATATAGTGGGTGTAAAATTCTGTCATTGTTATGATTGCATTTTCCTTAGTACTAGTATCTCTGAGAATCTTTTTCTGTGTGTTTATTGTCTGAGATTTTCTATTCATGTGTTTTACCTTTTTTCCTAAGTTGTTGTGTTTTTGTCAATTTCTAAGAATTTTGAGTACTCTAGCGTCGAATATAGATCAGTGATTTTCAAATTGTGGTCTGTGGACCCCTGGGAGTCCTTGAAACCCTTTCAAGGGGTCAGTTAGGTGAAAAATATTTTTATAATTATACTATGATATTATTTGCCATTTTCACAGTGTTGACATTTGCAAATAAGGTTGGTAAACTACTATGGAATAGTCCTTCAGAATTATCTGTAAAGGCTGTTAAAATGCTTCCTTTCCAATATCAACATATCTGTATGAGGCAGTAAACCAACACATCACATCTGATTGAATGCATACACAAGTATAAGAATCCAGCTGACTTCTATTCAGTTAGACATTAGAGAGATTTTCAAAATACAAAACAGTACTACTCTTCTCATTGATTCTTTTTGAAGAGAGAGTTATTATACTTCAAATATTTTTTATGTTACTGTTTAATGGGTTTTTATTATTTTTAAATGAACTAATAAATATTTAAAAAGTTTTTTTCAGTTTAGTTTCTAGTACTCTAAATATTGATAGATATAACTCACATAAAAGTTGTTTGGTACTTCTCAGTAATTTTTAAGAATGTAAAGGGATACTGAGACCAAAACTTTTGAGAAGAGCTGCTGTAGATTTTTACTTTTTTTATCATTCCCATTTTTCTAGAGTTGTATATATCTTTTTTCTTTTAAAGCTTCTGATTTTCATCTGAAGATTTTAGTTTGTAAGCTGTTGCAAGGATTTGCTACAAGGACTTGGGGGACTCAGCATAGAGTTGTACTCATAGCTAAGGTGAAGGATACACAGTAGGAACAGCAAGGGCAGACAGCATGGGCAGAGTCTGGAGAAATCCATCTACAGGCCTCCTGTGCGCTCTCCTGATGTGAGGTCGCACTGAGCCTGCTCGCTTCTTCAGTGATGAAGATCTGGTAACCTGTGTACCTGTTCTGTCCAGGGCTCCAGTAGAGACTCAGCATCCAAATGTTGATTGGGAGCTAGTCATGTAGGCTCCCTCTGCCAAATAACTATAAGTTGCTATAACAAAGTTCCAGACTCCCAGAAGGTGCAGGGTTCAGTTCCTCAGTAAACAGTTTTATCTCATAGGGAAAGGTGCCTGTCAGTGTAGGGAGATATTTATCAGCCAACAACCAATCCTGCAAGCAGCCTCCAGCCTGCTGTGTTACATCTTTATACATATAAACTGATCCTGAATTGCTCTGTGTATTAATGTGTACTTTTCCCAGAAATTAGGAGCTCTCTTCAGAAGAGGATACTTTTGATGTAGTTTTTGAGGGCATTTTGGGGATATTTTTGGCTTATATTCAGAATTATTTCTATCAAAGGTAATAGTTAGATATATCCCAGATTTCTGGAAAGAAAAAAGAGCTCTTTTTTAGCCCATGGACAGAGGAGCACTTGCTCTGTCCTCAGTCATACTGTGAGCCTCGCTCCGCTTCCAACTCTGTTCAGGTTCAGCTCTTCTATGTGGTGCTTGTGTATATCATGTCACACATCTTTGATATGACCAATCATGATATAATCAATATATAAATCAGTATATACATTTATTTATCATAAGCCATAGATGTATCAATAAAAGCATGATGTTTTTTTTTTTTTTTTTTGCTGGAGAAGATTCACCCTGAACTAACATCTGTTGCACATCTTCCTCATTTTTTTGCTTGAGGAAGATTAGCCCTAAGCTAACATGTATGCCAGTCTTCCTCTATTTTGTATGTAGGTCGCCGCCACAGCATGGCTGACGAGTGGTGTATGTTTGTGGATACACCCACTGTATCCACAGTGTATCCAAACCCACAAACCCACTGAAGCAGAGCCTGTGGAACTGTAACCACTCGGCCATGAGGCCAGCCCCAAGCGTGATAGGTTTTTAAGATTCGTGTCTCAATGTGGCACTTTTTTTTCAGTATTCTTATCACTATTTCATGGACTTTTTTGGTATAGTGAGATAAATCTTTGTTAAGCTTACAGAACATTTTTCCTGTTTGTCCCTTGGTCATCTTCTCTTCTGTCCTCTCCTGAAACTGCTCCAGTCTGATATTGGATATCTGGGATCTCTCTTCCTTATCTCTTACTTTGCTCTTATAATTTTGCTCTGTGCTATGTGAGAACCGTTACTTGATCTCCTAACATATAATTAGATTTTTAACCTTGTTTTTATTTCTTACTTCAATTAATTTTTTAAATTTTATTATTGATGTTTGTATTTTTTTAATTTTTCAAGATAATTCATCTTCTACAACAGCTTTATAATAGTTTTATGGATGTATTTTCTATCTTTACTAGTTAAAATTTTAAAAACGTTATTTAATTCTTCCTACATTAATTTTCGTTTAAAGCTCTTTTCCCTTGCTTTTTCATTTTCTTGCTTCTCTTTAATGCTCTTAGTGTTCCCTAAAGTTGGGGTTGGAGAGTCTGTGGTTTTCATTCATGTTTGTAAATGTAGTTGATAGTTTGCTCAGCAATTATAAGCTGTCTGGTCTCTACTTTGAATACAAGGACTGATACCAGCTCAGTATGTGCTCTTCATTTGGGCTTAAATGAGTAGGTAAGACAGTGGATAATGGCAGCTCTCGCTTTAGTGTGAGTGAGGGACATTTCCTCAGCGTGCAAGCCGGGAACAGGCAGGGAGGGCCCCTTGCTTAACAGAAGTAGCAGTAGAGCTACCTGTGTCAGAAGGTGAACTGTTCTGATTTCTGGTTATTATTATGGATTTCTTATCATTTTTATATTTCTTATGTCATTTCTGTGAGATTTTGAAATGGGTAAGAAAACAATGTTCTCAATTCTAGATGTTGTAATGGAACTCAATAAAACTTGTAGATTTGTTAGAAACATATTCTTTTTGGTGTATTGTTGGTAATTATATGACTCTAATTTCTTCTGAGATGAATATCTAAACTTAGAGAAGTTTCATTCCTGAGTTTGAGACAGCATAATATAGCAGTTAAGGACACAGAGTCTGGGCCAGGCTTCTTGGCTAGAATATTAGTTTTGATAGCATGGGTGTTGGATATGTGACATAATCCCTCCATCCCTCAATTTCCTCATGACGCATGTAAAAATAATACCAATCTTAAATAATGTTAGGTGATTTAAATGAGCTACTATTTGTAAAGTGCCTATACCAGCATTTTTCAATTAGTAACTACTACATGTTTGTTAAATTAAAAAAATATATATGTATAGCTGTATATAAAATGGTATGCTATGAATTTATTCCAAATAATGATTTCTCTTGAATAGTTGCAATATATTTGAATGGCTTAAATAACTGTTTTTGTGTTATTCTGTTTAATTTTTTACAGCTTATCGTGAGCCTCGCTATTTTTACCAGTTTACAGCTCGCTATCATGCAGCTCCCTGCAATAGTATCTATAATATTTCTTTTGAGAAGAAACTTCTTCAGATTTTAAGCAAATTGGTTCTTGATCTTTCATGTGAAGTTTCCTTACTTAAGTCTGAATGCCATCATGTTAAAATGCAAAAAGCTGGTTTGCAAAATGAATTGTTCTTTACATTTTCAGGTAAGTATATACAGTTCTTTAAGGAAAACAAATTGAGGACACAAAGCTTATTTTAAAGACATGTTGTGAATTACCAGCATCATTTTTAGAATGTAAATGTTATAAATCTAAATGTTTTATGTTCTCTACTTAGTTACAATAGCCCCCAAAATAAAATTCTACTGATTTCTGTACTTAATGAAAAGTTTACGCTCTCAAATAACTTAAACCTTGTTATAACAATTTACTAGAGAATGGAAATTAGTATAAAGAATGTATCATGATATTTGGCTAAGAAGATTTAATTGTAAAAGCGTCTAATTATAATAAGATGGTTTAATACGATGGGCCAGAGGGACCATTCTAACAGCTTAGGGTGCTTTTTCTAATAATGTAGAGTGGAGGCCCAATATTTTCCAGAAAACAAAGAATTGGACTTCATATCTAAGGACTTCAGATTTGTAAAGGCCTGCTTATGAATGAGCTCTTAAGAATAACCATCTATGTGTTTTTAATAGGTCCCAGTGGTAACAGGACCCCCTTCCCCTTTCTTCTCAAATGATATTGCTTGCTATTTTCCTTTCTTTCTTCTTTACTCTTTGTCCTTGATTCCTCTACTATCAGTGTTTGATTGTACTTACTCATTTCTCCGATTTTCCCTTCTCTTTTTTTGGGGCATCTAGGATTGAATTTTTAGACGCAAGTGAGAGGTGTGAAGCTTTAAGGGAAAAGAACAAGAGAAGTTCAACCCCATTTTCACTGTCTTTTATCTTCCTTACTACTTTTTCTTTTCTCCAGAAGAACTTTGAGTTATTCTCCAGCCCCTGAGACAAATTTTCGGAGGTAGACTAACTCTTTCTTTAGCTCTTCAAGGACCCACTATTAGCATTCATAAGACTTATGGGGTCTTTGTACCCAGTCTATTTAATAGGTGCTATTAATAGGCATTTAGTAGTCCTTAGAAAACCTGAAAGTGTACTTGAACTCATAAGAGGAAAGAGATGATATCCAATAGAAAAGAGGCATTGTGGGCTTAATTTGCATTTCTCTAATGACTAATGATATTGAACATCTTTTCACGTGCTTATTTGCCATTTTATATTGTTTTTGGAGAAAAGGCTATTTGGGTCCTTTGCCCAATTTTTATTTTTTTCCAGCTTTATTGAGATGATTGCCATATAACATTGTGTAAGTTTAAGTTGTACAGCGTAAGGATTTGATATATATATATATGTTGCAAAGTGATTACCATAATAAGGTTAATTAAATCTGTCATCTCAATAGTTACAATTTATTATTATTATTTTTTTTGTGTGGTGAGAGCTTTTAAAAGCTACTCTTTTAGCAACTTTCAAATATACGATATAATATTTTTGACTGTACTCACCATGCTCTATATACATCCCTGAACTTATAACTGGAAGTTTATAACCTTTGTCCACCTTCATCCATTTCTCCCACCCCACCCCTGGTAACCACCTATCTGTTCTCTGTTTCTGTTTTTGTAGATTCCACATATAAGTGAGATCACACAGTGTTTGTCTTTCTCTGTCTGACTTAACATCACTTAGAAAAATACCCTCAAGGTTCATCCACATTGTTGCAAATGGCAGAATTTCCTTTATTTTTGTGGCTGAATAATATTCCACTGTATGTATATACCATGTTTACTTTATACATTCATCTGTCAGTGGATACTTAGGTTGTTTCTGTATTTTGGCTATTATAAATAATGCTGCAGTGAACATGGAGGTGTAGATATCTCTGAAATAGTGATTTCATTTTCTTTGGATACATATCCAGAAGTATAATTGCTGGATCATATGATAGTTCTATTTTTTATCTTTTTTAGGATCCTGTCTTCTGTTTTCCATAGTGGCTGTACCAATTTATATTCCCACCAACAGTGCACAAGGGTTGCCTTTTCTCCACATCCTCACCAACACTTATCTCTTGTCTCTCTGATAATGGTTATTTTTACAGGTGTGAGGTGATAGCTCATGGTTTTGATTTTCATTTCTCTGATGATTAGTTACATTGAGCACCTTTTCATATACCTGTTGGCCATTTGAATATCTTCTCAGAAAAAAAAATGTCTATTTGGGTCCTTTCCATTTTTAATTGGATTATTTGTTTTTTGCTTTTAACTTGTATAAGTTCTTTAAATATTTTGGATGTTAACGCCTTATCAGACATGTGGTTTGCAAATATTTTATGCCATTCTGTAGGTTGCCATTTTGGTTTGTTGATTGTTTCTTTTGTTGTGAAGAAGCTTTTTAGTTCGATGTAGTTCTGCTTGTTTGTTTCTGTTTTCATTGCTTGTGCTTTGGGTGTCATATTTATAAAGTCATTGCCAAGACTACTGTCAAGGAGCTGTCCTTGATACTGTCCCTATGTTTTCGTCTAGGAGTTTTGTGGTTTAGGTCTTACATTTAAGTCATTAATACATTTTGAGTTAATTTTTGTGAGTGGTGTAAGATATTGATCCAGTTTTATTCTTTTGCATGTGAATATCCAGTTTTCCAGGTACAATTTTTGTAGAGACTATCTATTCTTGATTGAGTATTTTTGGCTCCCTTGTCAAATATTAGTTGACCTTATGTGCATGGGTTTGTTTCCTGAGCTCTCAATTCTGTTCCATAGGTCTATGTGTCTGTTTTTATGCCAGTACCATACTATTTTGATTACTATACCTTTGTAATATACTTTGAAATTAGAAGTGTGATGCCTCCAGCTTTGTTCTTTCTGAGGACTGCATTGGCTATTCAGGGTCTTTCGTGGTTCCATATGAATTTTAGGATTTTTTTTTTCTATTTCTGTAAAAAAAGCAGTTGGAATGTTGATAGGGATTGCATTGAATAGATTGCTTTCAGTTGTCTGGGCGTTTTAACAATATTGGTTCTTTCAGTCCATGAACCCGGAATATCTTTCCATTTATTTGTGTCTTCTTCAGCTTCTTTCATCAATGTCTTAGGGTTTTAAGTGTACAATCTTTTACCTCCTTGTTTAAATGTATTCCTAAAGATTTTATTTTTTTTTACGGTATTGTAAATAGGATTGTTTTCTTTATTTTTTTTCAGGTAATTTATTGTTGCCGTATAGAAATGCAACCGATTTTTGTATGTTGGTTTTGTATCCTGCAACATTACTGAATTTGTTTACTCAGTCTAACAGTTTTATGGTGGAGTCTTTAGGATTTTTTGTATGAATAAGATCACATCTTCTGCAGATAGAGACAACTTGACTTCTTCCTTTTTGATTCAGATGCCTTTTATTTCTTTTTCTTTCCTAAGGGCTCTGGCTAGGACTTCCAGTACTATGTTATATAGTGGTAGGAGGGGGCTCCCTTGTTTTGTTCCTGATCTTAGAAGAAAATCTTTGAATCTTTCACCATTAAGTATGATGTTATCTGTGGGCTTGTCATATATGGCCTTTATTATGTTGAGGTATGTTCATTCTATACCCAATATTTTGAGAGTTTTTATTGTGAATAGATGTTGAATTTTGTCAAAACTTTTTTGCATCTATTGAGATATTCATGTGATTTTTATTTTCCATTCTATTAATGTGGTGTATCGCACATTTATTGATTTGTGTGTTGAACCATCTTTGTATCCCAGGGATGAATCCCACTTGATCATGATGTTTTATGTGCTTTTAATGTGCTGTTGAATTTGGATTACTAGTACTTTGTAGAGAATTTTTCCATCTATATTCATCAGGAATATTGGCCTGCAGTTTTCTTTTCTTGTAGTTTCATTGTCTGGCTTTGGTATCAGGGTAATACTGCCCATGTAAAATGAGTTTGGGCATGTTACCACTTCTTCAGTTTTTTGGAAGAGTTTGAGAAGGATTGACAATCTTTAAATGTTTGGTAGAATTTACCAGTAAAGCCATCTGGTTCTGGGCTTTTCTTTTTTGGGAGGTTTTTGGTTACTGATTCAATCTCTTTACTCATTATTGAACTGCTCAGATTTTCTATTTCTTCATGATTCTGCCTTTGTAGGAATTCATCCATTTCTTCTAGGTTGTCCAGTTTTTGGTATATAGTTATTCATAGTAGTCTCATGATCCTTTGTATTTCTGTGTCATCATTTGTAATGTCTCCTCTTTCATTTATAATTTTATTTATTTTGGTCCTCTCACTTTTTTCTTGGTTAGTATAGCTAAAAGTTGTCAATTTTGTTCATATTTTTGAAGAACCAACTCTTGGTTTTGTTAATAATTTCTGTTTTTTTCCTATTATCTATTTCATTTATTTCTGCTCTAATCTTTATTATTTCCTTTCTTCTGCTATTGTTGGGATTAGTTTGTTTTTCTTTTTCTAGTTCTTTGAGGTGTAATGTTGGGTTGTTTATTTGAAATCTTTTATCTTGATGTATACCCCTTTGTTTTCTTCCAATAATTTGAAGTTTTATCTCCTACATTTGGATCTAAGATTCATTCTGAGTTAATTTTTGTGTATACTGTGAAATATGGGTCTAACCTCATACTTTTGATTGTGGATGTTCAGTTGTCCCAGCACCATTTTTTGAAGAGACTTCTCTCTCCCTGAAATTGTCATGGCACCCTTACTAAAAGTCAGTTAATCGCACACATGTAAGTTTGTTTCTGGACTCCGAATTCTATTTTATTGTTCTGCATGCCTGTCCTTATGCCAGTACCACACCATTTTGATCATAACGTTTTCATAGTAGCTTTGTAGTAAGATCTGAAATTAGGAAGTGGAAGTCTTCCAATTTTGTTCTTTCTTTTCAACATTGTTTTGACTCACAATTCCATATGTGTTTTTGGCATCTGCTTTTCCATTTCTACCAGACAAGGCCATTGGGCTTTTGATAGGGATTGTGTTAAATCTGTAGATAGTTTTGGATAGTATTACCATTACCACCTTAACAATATTGTCTTCCAGTCCATGAACACAGGATATCTTTCCATTTATTTAGGACTTTGTCTTCGTCTGTTGGTCTGCTGTAACAAAATACCACAGACTGGGTAGCTTATAAGCAATGGAAATTTAT